ATATTTCTATGCTAGGAAGAATGGTTTAGAGGTAGGTATCTCTTATTTACGGATTAAACAACTGTTTTGTAATTTTAGTATGTGATGCTATTACTCATTTTACCTTTTTTAAAGTAATTTATTTATATATTTATTTATATTACTTCAGATTCAAGTTGATTCCATTGCTTTTCTTAGAAAGATTATTCAGTATGTGTCATCAGTGTAGTCAGCCATATTATTGGAAATTTTGTGAGATGAGGCAGACACTAGATGTGATGCAAATTATAATGCTGATGTATATCTTAGTGGAAAGGTTTTGGATATGTTACAGTACCAGATATCATATTCTTGATTATTGCATTTAATGGTTATCATTGGCCCTTTTCTTGCAGTGGATGTTCCTGGCTATTGATATGATTTTTATTCTAAGAAAAAATTGGAATTGTATCTTGCCATAACTTAATATACATTAGCATTTGGTTTCTTTTTGTATTTAACATTCATTCTTAGTTTATTTGCTCATGAACCTAAAATGCAGTGAATATGTAATAAAAATTGTTGACCTATTACGCATCTTGCAGGACTTTTCTCCCCTGTCTGCACTGGGCCTGCAGCGGGTGGGCGAAGAGAGACCTTCACCATCCAAAGAGCCGAGCATACAGTTAAACCGCCGAGGAATGGTAGCTATTTTCCTTTTAGTTTTATATGCAATTAATATTTTTTTATTCAACAAGGTGTGTTTTATCATTCATCCAATGTCATTTAGTTTTTTTTTGTGTGTTTTAAGTCTGGATCACTTGTCTCTTTATTTTAGGTACGCATTTCGGGATTTTATTAGCTAGTCTGATTCTTATATTACATGTCACTTATTTGGTTGTTAAACCATTTAAAGTGATGTAATGGATTGAATTATATATTTCTAACATTATTGTTCATTTACATAGTCTTAATCATTTGATTTAACCCTTTTTATGTGGTGATGTCCCTATTGATATCATGATAGTAAGCCAGAGATTCGTGATTTTGAACCTGTTGTGTCCCTTACAACAAATCCTTCATTGGTGGCCTACCACCTTGGACTATGGGCTTCGAAGGTTTCCTAGTCAAGGAAGACTAGTAATGAAAATTTCTCAATTCTGGAATATCAACTCCCTCCAGAACCATTGTAAAATCCATCCTTTTTTTTTAGAAACTAACTGAAGGGATTGAATGTAATATTTCAGTTTCTGTTTATTTTGTTATTATCTCTCAATAAACTATACCAAATGGATATTATTTCCGGGTCCATAGGTTACTTTTGAAGTTTGTTAAGTATATTATAATACCAGTTCATCTGATTATTATTATTTTTTCTCCTTTCTTTTCCACAGCCTGCGCGCGATGAGAAAGAAAAACCGCTTGTATTATGATGATGACCTTGTGAGCTCCCCCACACAGATGAAGTCTCCCAAGAAAACGCCTCGGGGAACGCCTAAGAAACAACCAAATCCACAACCCATGCCACTTGCTCCAGTTAAACTAGTGAGTTGTGTTTTTTCATAGTATAGTACTGGGTCAGAACAAAATGACAAGAAACCATTTGAGAGGAATTTTAGATTCAGAAGTCATTCTTTGTGAAGTGCTAGTTTATTTTTAATTGTATCCTTTCTGTATTCTTGAAGAGAGCTTTATAGTTAAAGGACATGATACATTAGAAATAAAGGTGTGTTACAAAAGATATGGTCTTGTTTTAATTTGTAAAGTATGTTTATTTTGTTTGGCGGAGAGACTTGCCTAATTATTATTTTGTTTTGTATTCTAAACATAGTCATTGCCCATCTTCTTGTCTATTTTTGTACTCTCCTATTAAAGCATTTGTTTATTATTTCTTTTCCCACAGAATTCATTTTTAGTAATTTTGAAACTGGAGAATTATATTGTTAGGGAATAATGCAGAAATACATTATGTAGGTATTTAAGGGAGATTTAGCATTTTTATACATGCTGCTGTCATTTCATTTGGAGGGCTGCTTTTGCCTCTGTCATTGTTTTCTCCAGAAACTGAAGTGTTTACCTTAAGATACAGATATACTGCATGATCGTGAGATAGGGTAGTAGTACCCAATCTTTTCCCCAGCATAAGGTCCAAATGAACAAATCTAAATTCTTTACAGGCTACTAGAAATATCAAAAAATTGCAGTAACTACTATGTAATGCCATCATTGTTGCCATTGTCCTTTGACACATGCATAAGGAAGTGCATCAATTTTCAATGCAGACAGTTTCTATGTGGTAGCCAAAAAAATAATGTTAAGAAGGAGACATTTTGCAAAGATTAGATCATAGTCCCATTAGATCAACATTACAAGAAGTCCTTGGTTTACAGTAGAATTCTGTTCCTGAATTCTAAGTGTAAATTCGAATAAAGTAAAGGATGAGACTGTGAATTCCATAAGAAATAAGTAAAAAAATAACTAGGGTTCCCCAAACTCTTGCCCTTCATGACTCACAAAATATATGAAATAATTGAATTTGGTAAAATTAATGCCTTTTAGTTAAAGATCATTGGTGCATGAATTATTATACTCAATGATATAAGACAGATATAGCAAACTCTCTTAACCCACTTACAATGGGTATCACACATGTGAGACACCCAGAAAAGTAAACATTACCGGACATCCCGCTGGTATGACGCTAGATCGGATCTTGCGCTCTGATTTTGTCGCCCGTGATCGTAGGACTCCCAGACTCGTGCTGATTTTGAAGCCCTCTGGAAAATATTGTTTTTGGCTTGATGAAAATGTACTGTTGCTAGTGGGTTAACCTAATGTTGACAATTTTCCTCCTGCTGAACTGGGCCATGTTTTGGTGATTGGGCATGGTTTTCCAGTATTAGAGAAAAAAACAAGACTTTAGTCCCATATTTGAGGGACTTTAGCTCATGAGCTGTTGTGCCCAGAGTAGAACAAGTAAACAATTGTAGACAGTGCACATCTGTGCATAGCGTGTATTCTTGCCAACTGGCATTTAGCCTTGGCTCTTTATGGCAAGATTAAATGCCGCCTGTCAAGAATGGGTTATGAGTCAGGGAAAAGCTTTGTGAGTTACAATGGTGGGAATCAGGGATGTTTGTAGAGATGCCGGACTAGTGAGGCCAAAGGAGAGGATCCTCCCTTCTGCTGCTGCTTTGCGAGTAAAAAGGCATCCAACATTGTTTGCTGCCTTTCTTCTTCTTCTTGCATAGTTCTTAACAAGGGAAATATTCTCTGATATTTTGCTCAGCTTTTTAACTTTGGGTCAACATTAGAGATTTATCAAACTGAATGTTTATGTATACCTACATGCTAAGTCAAAGAATTTGAGGCAACAAAAATAAGTCTTCCTCTTTCTGCCTCTAATTATTTGTCTTTATTAGCCTTTTCTTTATGTCTTTTAAAAAAATTATCAGACTGCCTTCTAAGAACATATGAAAATACTGGCAGCTCAGTTCTGAGGGCCACTTAGACCTTTAAGTAGGGAATCAGAATAATAGTTTTGATTATCATTAACCCATTGGATCTGGTTGCATCAAGGCAATCACAGTGCTGAAAGTCCGGGCAGTGGGTCTCATGAGTAGCCAACATCCCAGGCATGCGTTACATAGGGAATGCTCAAACACCCAAGAACCTGACAAAAATCTGTGCCTCCCCTGTTTTAGCCTTTTTGCCATTTTCCAAAGTCAATAATTTCTCTCTCTCTCTCTCTCTCTCTCTCTCTCTCTCTCTCTCTCTCTCTCTCTCTCTCTCTCTCTCTCTCTCTCTCTCTCTCTCTCTCTCTCTCTCTCTCTCTCTCTCTTCTAATTCTCTCTCTCTCTCTCTCTCTCTCTCTCTCTCTCTCTCTCTCTCTCTCTCCTCTCTCTCTCTCTCTCTCTCTCTCTCTCTCTCTCTCTCTCTCTCTCTCTCTCTCTCTCTCTCTCTCTTCTTTCAATTTTCTGTAATACATGAACATGGTGCACAGTATGTAAATGGAGTCCTCTTTGGAGTAGGTGCTCTTTCAGTCATGGCTTTATGCATGTTACATCCCACATTTGTTTTTCAATGGGAATATTACTAAAGGCCCCTTCTAAACGGCAAATGAGTCAAATTGCACTCCAAGAGGTTTGTGCACTCTTGGTGAGTCTTTTCCATTACCCTGGCCTTCAATCATGTTGACAAGTTCACGTCACCCAGCCCTCGGCCCAGATTTTTCCCTAACATGACCATAAGATTATCCAGATCATAGGGGTTAATACCTTCTTCATAGATAGGCTCCTAAATCATTGGTTCTCTGTCATTCCCTTAAATCCATCCAAATCACCTAAAATACAAGAAACAAAGATTTGGTAAATTTTCCTTTGTTGATTCAAACCTAGGCTAATGACTTGAATATAGGGTATGTAGATTTGTTAGATATTTTCTGTTACCACTTTTTGTAATGTTTCACAGTACTGTTCTTTGAAAACTTGTGTATTTGGGAGCTTTTACTCAGCATGGGGATAACCCCTGGTTAAGACAGTTTTTGATGTTTCAGGAATATAGAGACTTCTCACTTTTTTTTTTTTTTTACACTAACACTTTATTTTATGATGTAAATGAATTGGTTAGCACATTTGATGGGTATTCTTGATATCATGTAATACAAGAACTTTATAACCAGAAGAATTTTTAATCAGTAACCCTTATGATCTGAATGATTGACCATTATGTAAAAAAAATTGGCTTAAGGGGCAGGTAAAGTCAACTTGCTGTCATGGGAAAATTTAAGCCAAGGGCTGGGGTGACGGGAACTTGCCGTCATGAAAATTTCTCCTGAAGGCAGGGGTAATGGAATAACTTGCCATGAGTGCACAAACCTCTTGGAGGGTGATTAGATTCAGTAGGTATTTGGGAAAGGGCTTTTGCACTATTTCCATTGATAAATGAGTGTGGAATGTGCTCTCCATCAGCCATGACTGGAAGAGCACCGGCTCCAGGGAGGACCCTGATTCATGCTCAGGATACTGTTCCTAGCTGCTGTGACCAGCAGTGCAAATTGTATTAGAGAAAAGTGACTATTATGAAAAACAAAAAGACAAAAGTTATGGACTACTTAGGGAGATGATATGGAATCTGTGCAAGGGATTATCTATCTATCTATTACCATCTGGGTAAAGCAAATGAAATAACAAATATGATATTGGAAAATGGCAAAAAAGCTACAAATATTTATGCTGAAAAAGAGAAAATTACATTGCAAAGGGGAGGCATAGTGTCGTGTCACTGCACACAAGTGGTTGTGTGTGCCTGGCCAACAAGGCACACACCTATCAGAATGATTGCTCAGATAAGTCAAAGGATGCATTCTCACCAAGGTGGTATGTTGCATGTGGCATGTCATGTGGCACACCTTTTGAAAACAAACTGAAATATATGGGACCTTTCACACACAAGTGGTGTGGCACATTGCATTAGCCATGTGTGACGTGTGAGTGACACTGAGATCCATATTGTCTGATATTTTTCAGCATGGATCTGCCACCTCAAACAGTGTTGTCAGATTTTAATGGAGTTTTTACTTTCAAAATAATTTTTGCCAAGACAATATAAGAATGTTAAAGTTAAATAACATATGATAAAAAATAAAACTTTTGGATGTATGCATACATAGAGTAGTTTTGAAGTATCCAGACAGATTTTTGCCAAATACATTTAACACATTCCTTTGCTTGTCTACTTAGCAAAGCTTTGGATGAGAGGAAAATCAAGTGCGGACTTGAGGAAACAATGAGATGTGTACCTGCTCTCGTGCACAACTCTGCTTCTTCCAGACAATGAACTAATGAACATAACTTTTGTACAAGCTGTGGAGAAATACAAATGTTTGCATGATACAGCAGCACCTCAGTATACAATAACAGTACCTCCATGGTAAAATTATTGAAATATTTTGAGAGAAAAAGTTTCCATATAAGTATATACAGGTTACTAGTTTAGTTCCTTTTGAATTTCCACCAGAGTGATCTCATTCTACAATCCATTCAAGTGCTGTTTAGTATGAGAAAATGAACAAACGTAGAGTTGCTGCTTCTGCTGTCCAACAAAAACAGATGTTCCAGCTATGAATGCAGGCAACTACATTGATGAGTAGTACTTTCAGCTCAAGCTTTCACCCCAAACTTACCCTCATACACCCTGGACAGAAAGAGCAGGGGAATTGGAACAAGTTTACCTCACATTATTCCTACAAGGGAAAGATAGATGATTGTCATAAGATTGCTTAGGACTTGGAACAACAAGAACATTGCCATCTTTTGAACTGAGTGAAAGTGGGCTGACCTTGGTTTGAAATAACCATGAAGTATGTCACTTGCCACTTGCCACTTGCTGCTTGTCATGTGCCATGTGCCACCTTGGTTGGAAAGTGGCTTGATGCTTGTATTTGTGGCCAAGTGTGGTAATTTAAGGTGTGGTCAGAATACTCATAAATTTCACTGGAATCCAGTGATTTTCTGTAGGCTGGAACCAACCCACCCATCAGACGTGTTCACACTGCGAAAAGAACCAACGGCTTTGTCCAGTGGAATCACGGCATCAAAACAAATTGACTGCAGAAACTTGCTATGGATCCCGCAATCTTCTCCCTAACTCTTGCTATTCTTTAATGATTTCGGAGTTCAAACTTTTTCGAAGTGGGAGTAAATTGCTCCAGAATTCCACATTTCGAATATTCATGGGATCTGCAGTTTCAACTTGAAGTTGGCGGCTACGCATTTGTTTATATTTGTCAGGCTAATGAGAATCCATGGTCATTGCTTTTGTTTTTACTTTTCATTCATATTTTAGCTTAGATCTAAATGTAAATAGTGATATACAACTGAATATGAATAATTCTGAATAATTAAAAATATATGATAATATTTATGCTTTGAAATAAAACATATGCATGCCATGCATACTATGGAGTCTCAACTTTTTCCATCTGTCCCTCGATGGACGAGTGGATATCCATCACATTGAAAGTGTGGGCGAAAGTCCATTGAATTGAGTCCATCAATGGGCAAATTCCATTAAAAATCGCTGGATTTCACGAATCTATAGGTAGACTGACTATACCTTTAAAGCATCCAAATCCAATGGTTATCCAGAAATCTCTGTAATGAGGTCTTACCTGGAGAATTTATCATTATCTACATTGGGGACAGAAATGACAGCACATGTATTCCTTGTAGATTAGTAATATTATTTTCATTTCATTTATAATTGATGGAACAGAACTTGAAGATTAAGATTGTTAAGGGATTTGTATAAAGGAGAAATAAGATATTGGAATCAGTGAATTGTTGGATTATACTTTCATAAGAGGTAAAGAATATACCCATAGTAATAATACTCTGATTCAAATAGCTTCTGACTGAATACTTAATAAAGTGATTTAAGATATCCTTTTTGTCATTCTTCTTTGGATAATCATTATTTTTGTTATTGACACAAGATCTGATAGTAATAAAAGCATTTGTAGATTAATTTATTTTGTCAGTAGGCCAATTATTAGACAAAATTTTAGCACTGGCTACTTGTGTTTGTTTTCAGGGCGAAGGCATCAGTGCTCCTCACAGTAATCCAGTGATTGCCATGGTAATGACCAAATTTAATTGTTTGATTTGTTCTATTAAAATGAAGGAAAACAGATGAGATTGCCATTAAACAAGCTGGCTTTGAAGCAAACTTCTGGATAATGTTTTGTCTGGGTTAATGTTTGTTTATTGTGTTTTACCAGTTGAGTGTATTTTTTAACAGAACATCTTTTAGAAGGAAGGATGTATATGAGCTTCGTAAGTTGTAGTGATGCTCTCAGAAGTGATTATGGTATATATGTTGAATATTAACAGGGCATTTGCAGTAGTCCCACAAAGTCTGAAAATTTAAAGATTTACTAATTGCTGTATTTTAAGCTGATGTCTTTATTTTTTTAAATTTTAATAATAATCATTTTTTTAATGATTACTGTGTGAAGCCAATATGTTCATGTTCCTATTGATATGTTTTCACATTATTTTTGCATGATTCTCAGCTATTTCCATTTACCCAAAAAATCATTGTATAAGAATTGAATTCATAGACATTAGGCAATTACCCTGAATATAAATATTGTATATATTACTGTGACATGCATTAGCTGTTTGATACTGGACATAAACAAAAAATTTGCAATAATCACATGAAGCATTAAGTTTTCTGGAATGTAGAAGTAAGAGAAAAAACATTAGAGGTGCGTGCAATAAGAATGTTGCTAAGAATAACTAATTAGAAAAAGAAAACAAAAAACTTGGTGAACTCCTGGATAAAAAGATATTTTAGCAAATACAGTCCTATAGGTTCAAGTGAAGATGAATATAGTATTACTGAGGCAGGCAAAGCATAGAAGGGGTTTGCAAAGGAAAGAATTTACAGTAGAAAAAAGGTATAACATAGTGGTAAAAAGTATTACTATAAAGTCGGCATTCACAGTGAATACAGAGGGTGTTTCTCAAAGTTTCAATAGTAATTTCCATAACCAACAACCCCTCTAAGCTGGTACTCAGCCTAAAGCTGGGAGATCATCCAGAACTGATATGGCAGTCAGTACAGTGAAAGTATTGGGTAATGTGAAACTGGCTTACTGGCATGATACCTGGGGAACATCATTGAATGAGAAGGTAAAGATAAAGATAAGAATAAAGGTAAAGATTAAAATACCTTTAGAAAATGTAGGATAAAGGAAGAATTGTTTGAGAAAGAGAATATAGCAATGCTTTGGAATGAGTTGTGGGATTTAACCCATTCACAACAGATGACCTCGAATCACATCATGATAAGCTTGAGCCAAAGTGTAGGTGGCAACTATGGATATCACTTTCTGTCATGTTGTGAGTGCTGTGGCACTTGAGATACAGCCCCTGAAAAATGCCTAAAAGCCTCTTTTAGCCTCATTTCCCTAAAAAAATAATGTACACTAAAACCAAGATCATAGAGAGCGGCTGTCTGTGCATAATCCTGGCATGTAGCTCAGTATGTTTGCAGGGAAGACCTATTGTGAATGGTTCACTCAATTAGGATGCCATCCTTTAGTATCTTGGAAGATTGTATATTTGAAAGAATGTTTTGCTAGTTGTAAATCAGTGCAGTGATATAATTATCCTATGAAGAATAATATAATGTTACTAGATTACTAATAGACTTAGAAATATTTGGCAATTAGCACAACACATGAACTAGGCTGCTTTTGATATTAGTGATGTGGAGGATAGTGATAAATATTTTAGAGTTCTGATTACACATAGGACAGCATAGAGGGATTGAAGTGTGAAACAGCTAATGTGTGTATTGTCTAAAGTGCATGTCATTACCTTAAAACATTTGATAAAAAGATACATATATCCCATATTCCCTTTGCAACCTGTTTCTAAATTATGTTTTTCAGTTATACCTTGTAGACAGAAGCTAAAATGTCAGTTTGTTTTGTTTAACACTGTCCTAAGATTTGTTTTTTTCTCTATAGGAACCACAAACCATCACCACCCCAGACAAAAAAGTGGCACAGCAAAATGGCGTAAGGTTGCGGAATTTTCTGAAGCTCCCACAGGCTCACAAATGGGTGTACTTTGAATGGTTCTATTCAAATATTGACAAGTAAGTATAAGATTGGAAAATGAATCAGGGAAAAGAGATTAAAACAAATTGTTCTTGTATTGACAGGTGTGGAATATGCTATTTTTTCAGTGATATTATGAAAGAATTTTAATGAATACCACCATTTTTTATGTAAATTTTTCTTCCTCATAAGTAATATTAAATAGAATCTATTTGTCATTTTTATAGACCTTTGTTTGGTGGTGAGAATGACTTTCAAATTGTGTTGAAGGAAGCCTTTCCACAACTACAAACACGCAAACTAACGCGTCGACAGTGGGCATGATCAGACGAATGATGGGCAAACCAAGAAGGTGTTCACAGGTAAGGCAGAGAAATGAATGTTTAACCACAACATATTTTGATGTGGTTTTATTCCTTTTTTTTCCTTTATCATATCCCAATCAGTTATAAGTGTAACTAGTATTCTAAAGAGTTGTAAGTATTTTAAACCAATATTTCATGGATAAGCATGAGTATTTTAACTAATATTTCATGGGTAGGCATCAGTCTAGAAATTACATCTTCGTGCTCTAAATGGTTTTTAAAATTTTATTTTGATACAGGCTTTCTTCAAGAGGAACGCCAGTCTCTTGATAAGAAAAGACATGTTCTGCGATTGTTACAGCAGCGGAAGATAACAGACATCAACACCCTCAAGGACTTTCCACTACCAGACCAGATACCTATGCAGTTAGTTATTGGTACAAAGGTGAATATTTATGACTAGTTTTGTGTGATGAACAGCAGACTTGTGTTTGTTGTGTTAAAGCATAAAGTTTTTATTTTTTTATTTTATTTTTTACTGATGAATATTTTCAATTAAAAAATAGGTTACTGCAAGGATCAGAAAACCAGAAAATGGGCTCTACACGGGAGTGATTGATGCAGTGGATACATCAGACAACACATACCGGATAACATTCGACCGTCATGGCATTGGTACACATTCAATCCCAGACTATGAAGTTCTGGTAAGTAGACTTAGATTTGCACAAATTAGTTATATTATGTTGTCATGTTCTTATGTTTCTCTGTTTAAAAATTCAAGAATTACTTTATGATTTATACTCATAGGTTACTGATAAATCAAGGTTTTATTATGAATTATACCCATGGATGTATATCTATCCTTTTTAAATGTTACACATTTTGAATTATATCCTTAACTATTGATCTGTCTACTTTAATCCACATATTCTATGATGTTTTCATTTTCTAGTCTGTTTTTATCTTAAATTCCCTTATTTTTTCAGTCTAGTGAAGTAGCAGAGATAATGCCATTGTCAAGTTTTTCTCAAAAATTCCGTCCACGCCCCCACTGGGTATGGTGACCCTCCTCGGCCTCTACTTCCAAAGTTAGAACCAGGGAGTGTAGGAGCAGATAGCCCTGCTCTCTCTCTTACCAACGACCCTATCTTGGCCCAATCTCCTCTCAAGTCGTCCAAGATATCCATGGATGATACACTGGGAGGATTCCCAGTCAGATGCTTAGTACAGATAGTGAGTTGTGGCTTATATTAAGGTCTTAGCTACACCCTTATTCTCTTTAGGGTTGGAATACTTAGTCATAGAGGTTACCTATTTTTATTCTTTAACCCACTGGCGCTGGGTGTCACATACGTATATGGCACCTAAAGTGAAGGTAAACCTTCAAAATTTTAATATTTTCATAAATTTTTGAAAAATAAAAGCTTTTAGGTGCTATATGTCGCTCGCAAACTACCGATTGAGCCGGGCGCAAACAGGGGAAACTGCCAGTGCGCGCCAACAAGCCGGCGCATACGTAAACTTAACAAAATTTTTACCCGTCGTTGATGGGTTAACACGTTGCTGATGGGTACATGTAATGTCCACTAATTTTGTTTTGTGAATTTTGTTTACACCTAGGTGGCTCCACAAGTGCTCGCCATCAAAGAGTCAGTTAGTAGGTACTGTGTGACCTCACTCTATTTCTCCTTTCTTTGAATTTTCATGAGAATTTTGTTCCCTAATTCTGTGAATATTTATATTAGTGTCATTATTATTATGGATTGTTACCCATTCACGCTGGTATATTTTGAAGCCAAAAATAAAATATTCCAGGCTGCTACGTGTGCTGTGCTGGTGCAGCGGTAAGGTGCTGGTCTAGCAATCTTGTGGACTTGCGTTCAATCCCATGCCCGGCCAGTGAGTGGTATCCCTGGCCATTCCTTGCACACAGGGGGAGATTTGGGCAAAATAAAACAGACAGTATGTCACAGCAAAGAATATCCATAGTAGCAAATGGAATTAAAACTAAAATCTTAAAATCTTAAATCTTAAATCTTACAAAAACAGCGGGCGGAGCTTCTCTGGAGTCTGTCCACCTGCCGGCCGTGGCCCGCTGCTGTGTCAGAGTGCGAGACCCGATACAGCGTCACACTGACGGGACGCCCGGCATTGTTTATTTTTTTGGGTGTCTCATATATGGGACACCCATCATTAATGGGTTAATATGTTATTAACATTATTAACATTATTAATAACAATAGAAAAGATGAATTCATGAAGAAATACTTGTGGAGCCGTCTATACACATTTAATATAATAAAATTGCAGTGGACATTGGATGTATGCATATGCCATTCCTGGTGACAGTGGGTTAATGATATGATTTGTCATGTGTGTGTGTGTGTTTATTTTTTTATTTTTTTATTTATTTATTTATTTATTTATTTATTTTTTTATAGAACTGCTTCTTAATTAAACTTTTTCTTGTATAGGTGCAACTCTCTAAAATACTTAGAGCAAAGCGGGAAAAGATTGGTGCACTGAGAGATATGAATGCGCAAGCTGAAAAGCAGCGCAGTTACAGCCAGGAGTTGAATGTGGACTTCCAACGAAGATATGCAGCCTTAGTTTTAGACATTGAAAAGCTAAACCGAGACCTGAACCAGCACCTTGTAGTAGTTCAGCAGTTTTGCCAGGAGGTGGGTCAGCCTTTGAGATTGTGTTATTTTGTTGGGATGGAAAAAACTTGAAATGATTTCCTTTGCATAGAATAACAAACTCTTAAGGCACTTTTAGTTATGTAACATATCCAATTTCAGATTGCTCCAGAGCAAGGCTTGCCAGGGCCCACACTTCTCCCAGGCCAGATCAGAGAGCGGTGCTATGAAGAAGCGGCAACCATTGTGGATGTAACCAACCACTCAAGTGGGTCACCGCAGGTCAGCAGCCCAGCCATTCTGGACCTGATTACGAAGCTCACTTCTCTTATGCTGCAAATGAAGGTATTTAAAGTTTACTTGTATACATTTATTTTATTGCCCTAATAACAGTAGGATTGGCATTTTTGTTGTTGTTTCATACACATTACTAGGGGCAAAAGAAAAAGATGATTACAGATAAGGGCCTGGAATGTTTTTCTCTCCTTATTATTGTTAGGAAGATAAACAATGACATATTTTTGTTATGTTCCCCTGTTGATGAGTTTTTATATAGGAAGAATATTCAGAGATTTTTACTATATTTTTATGGTCATATATTTACATTTTATCATTTTTTTTATAATATTGTTTTGAGGTAAGTTCCACAGGCCTTGTGTTTTCTTGTATCATTCTTTTTGAAATCTATTACTTTAGTAGAGAAAATGTTATTGCAACCTACACACATTCTGTGATTAAATGGGATATGTGGACATTTAGATTCTTAAGAGATTTTTTCAATTTCAATGGTATTTTACAAAAAATGATTAACAGGTAAAAAAATGGAAAGAATGACTTAGACTTAGCCATTTTGCTACACCCTTATACTGTTCAGTGTCATAGGGATCTAGAATGGTTAATTCTAATGTATATACTATTGCATTGTTTAATACCTGGTTTGTTTCCATCTGTATATGGCTTCACTCTGTACTTGTTGCATCCATTTTTTCAAGAATTTATTCAATTCAGTGATATCTCTGACTGTACCATCAACTTCTAGGAACTTCTTTTTTCAGGTTGGAATTAGTTGGTTATTACAGTTTGTGTTATACTTGAAACCATTTTCTCTTGTGCTGTTGACTTTGAGAGATAAAAATGTATGTAGATATTATAAAGGAAATTATCTATATTTGAGAAATTGTGAAGATTCAAGGAAAAAGAATTCTAGACATAAGTTCTCAATAGTGAATACTATTCATTTTCAGAACCTGACGGAAACTGAAGTCAGTGCCTATGAACTGACGTCGCTACAAGAGACTCTAAACGAAATTCGCAGTTCTCTAGATGAGTCAAACAGGGTGGCCTTCCAGAACAACATTGAAGTCCATCTGACTCACATTATGTCTGCTGTCTCTCAAATGGGAACCCTTCAGGCCTTCAACAGTCACAATGGTACCTCTGTGTAAGAGATTGATTGGCCTTGGCACAGTGGTGTGTCATTTTAGACTGTTGATTGGGACCTGTGACTTTCTCTTCTTTAATTATCATTTGTCATATTTTTTGCAATTTCCTTAAGTAAGGTGCACGATCTCGTCATGACTGCTCATAAACTTGTACATTTTTACATACATAACGTACCTTGGTCATAGTGTTGACAGACCCATGTATTCCAGTTATCAAATGGGACAGACACTTTCTTAGGTATGGTTCTGAAATAATGAGGGCTAGGAACTGCTCACTCTTAGGACCCTTGAGTCCATAATCTGTATTTTTGTCATATATTAGGATTATTGTTATGCAGATTGAATAATTTTTATTTATTCTTTGTTTTTTTGTTGTATAGATACTGTCATATATCTGTACAGGCCTTGTGAATTCAGTGATGTAGGTTAATAACCATATATTTACAGATAAGCTGTTCATCACTGAGAGGAAAGTTTTGGATTTATTATCAGTCCAAAAGTTTGAGACAATCTGTTGTGATAATAGACTGTCAAATGATTATTACTGAATTAAATGGTTCATCGTCTGACAGGCAGACAGCAAAGCCAAAGAAATATTCTTTTGTTTAAATCAGGCCATAAAATGCCGATGGATGGATCCACTCGGACCTATAGATTTATATTTTTTAAGGATGTCACGTAGAAAGACTGTAAATTTTAATTAATGTGGAAATCATTTATGGAGAATTTAATTAAGATAATATGATACTGCTTCTATTTACATTTGTTTATCAGTAACTATTCCAGGTAGGCCTTTTGAAGGTACGTTAATTTCAGTAGCAGGGAATAGTAAGTGTTCTGTTCTCTCAGAGCTATGGGAATTTTGAATCTCTCGATGTCTAGGACAGCAGTTTAATGTAACCATATTTTTCTTTCTTGCTTGCTTTTTCTACACCTTAACAATCAAGAACTCATCTAAGTGCAGTTGATTTTTTTCTATTATTAACAGGTAATCATCAGGATTGAGTGATAAGAGGTAATATTTAATCTGGTTGTTAAAATGTCTTTTCACTGTGGAAAATATATTGCTGAAAGTTAAAAGCATTCACTGATCATCTTTATTGTCATAATCTGTAAGATTTGTTGTTTTTACAGTTATTACATGAATCTTGTTTTCCTTTTTGGAATATGTTTTTGACCACATAAAAGAAAGAAAAAATATAACAGAAAAGGGCTTGCAGTCCTGGTTTCTGCATTGTGTATGTTTACCTGAAAGTAGCTAATTAAAAAAACTGGTGTATTCATTCAAAGAATTAAGGTATTGGTTTCATCGTGATTAGTTTCACAGCTGAGAGAAAAAAAATAACTGAAGAATGTTAGTACTTTCAAATGTGTAAGTAACTGATGATGGTTGAAACTTGTTGGGATTGAATACAGGATCTTGTACAACTATGAAGTGGATATAAGCATTAAGTGTAGTTGCTTGTTATACAGTTACAACTGATAAAAGTTGTAAACCACTGTATTTAGGTCTTGTTGTATGTTGTAGGTACTATTTGTGGTGGAGAACAGCTGTGATTGCATTCTGGAAGTGATTTTCAGAGGCATTTGTTGATGCATTTTCTCTGAGTTCATTCATCTGATTATTGTAGTAACTATAATTTCCATGCGTTTGTCATCTTACTTCTCTTCATGTACTTGGTTGTTTGGGGGAAGAAATTGTGTTGAAGGCAGTTCCTAGGGAGTATTCTGAGACATGTATGTTATATTTTATCAACTGTATTAATTTTGGAATCTAGTTTGAATGCTCGAAATCAGTTCATATGATAATATTTGTTTTAAAATTAATGTCAGGATCACTAGAATTCAATTCTTTCTTACAGCTTAAATTAGAGGGTCAAAGAAAATGAATATGGAATGTTATATACAGAATTTCTGATACAAGAATTTAATTTTAGACTGACTATGCTTGTCAAATCTTGCATTTTGCAATTGTAGCAGGGTTATTAAGAAATTGAATAGAACCAAAAATTTAATATACTTTTACAATAAAGAAGATAGTTTCATTTTAGTTTTGGTATTATAATATCTCCATGGAAATTTTGAAATTTCAGAATATTAATTGAATATTTTTATACAAGGCAAATAACAGAGAATGCCATAGCTGTATAATCTATATAAGTTGGGTATATAAATTCTTTCTCTGAGCCAATTTTTTGTAGAGAGGGATAGTCCAATTAAATTTACAATGTTTAAAAGGGGTGTACAGCAACTTTGTTCATTTTGTCATTCAGAAATCTTGCAGAAATTTTACCTTTTGCTTTTCTATTTGGTTTTGTGTCTCACATCTTGTAAGTGGATACTGTACTCCTTTTAATGGAGATTCTACCTGGATTATTTTATTCTAAGAGACATTAACTGAGAAAAATATTTTATTATGTTGTATATATGACAAATTAAATGATAATATTTCAATTTTATTCTCAGTATGGACATGTGTTTATCTGATTGTAACAACTATTAATGGCCATAGTGTATCTAATAGTTTTATTCAGTTAATTACTTTTGTTATTGAAATTTCTAGTCATAATTAGGATTAACAGATTGTTGCTCCGGTAAAGTTTAATAGAGTATGGGTGTTCAGTGCCTCGCCAGTCCAAGGTGTAAGGAAATATTTGCCCAAGGTAAATCTGTTGTATTTTATTTCCCCATGATAGAGATGTCATAATGTGAGTAGATTTTGTGGAATCTCTTTACTAGCAGAGAGAAAAAAGGAAAGAATAAAGAAAACATTTGTGCTGTGCACATATTTTTTGTTCATAGTCTGGTTACTATGATGAAATGCTGCAGCCAAATTCTCCCAAGAAACTGGTGCAATTTTTTTTTTTTACCACAAATATTTTTTTTCCTATATTTTACAATAGTTTCACTTGTGCAGTCAGGACAATAATAGTTAAGCTAGTTTAGGGGAGGCCTTTGACTTTATGTATGGAAGTTGTATGGTTGCAAAGATGCCCATTACCATTCCAAAATTTGCTGTCCTTCATGAATGGTCTAAACTTGGTTAAATATTAATTGTTGTGCCTGTACTTGTCTTGCACACAGGGAGTTTAGTTAGCTTTAAGTCTACCCGCTGAGATTAATCAAGACTTTGAGTGTGGCCTTTTATCATCAAAAATTAGAGAAAAAAAAGCATAAAAAAATCGGTGTACTGGAGTATAGTCATAGATTTACATAGACACCCTGAAATTGAACTGCGCTTCTAGATTCCTGTGTGTTGTGTCTGTTTTTTTTCTTTCTTTTTCTCTTTCTTTTTTAATATAATTTTTTTTTTGTTTGTGGTTCTTGTGCATGATTCATTCTGATTTATTTCTCTTCCGTTAAAGGTTTGGTGTATATAATTTGAAAAAAAAGAAAAAAAATGTAGAGAATCATGTTACACAAATGTACATATGTAAAGAGAGGAATACTATTTTAAAAGTTACTTTGTGTTTAATTCCCCTTTGCTACTTTGACAATTATTATTATTAGTAGTAGTAATTTTTTTTTGAACTAGACATTAACCCCTTTGATCCAGATGATGTGATCATCAGGTCTTGAAAAAATATGGCTTGAGGGGTAGGCAACATGAACATACTGTCAAGGGAATATTTAGCTAAGTTAGATTGGGATGACAGGAATCATGTGAATTTTGGCTGAAGACCGGGTGATGAGAATGATTAGCAATGAGTGCACAAAGCTCTTGAGGGTAATTAGACCTGGTGGACATTTAAGATGGGGCTTTTGCATTATTTCCAATGAAAAATGAGTGTGGAATGTACTACCTGTGACCCATGCCTGGAAGGACATCGGCCCTAGGGATGACGCTGTTCCCATGCTTAGATCCTATTCCTGCCCACCTTGAATAGCAGCACAGGTTGTATTACAGGAAACTGAATAGTATGTAAAGAAAAAAAAAAAAAAAAAAAAAAAATGTTGCATTGGGGAGACACAGTCTTATCACCTTACAAGTGTGTTTGTGTGTGCCCAGCCTACAAGCTGCATACCCATCAGTGTGGGCGCTCCAGTTAGCCTAATACCCGCCATGACACTGAAGCATCTGCATTCAAGGGGTTAAGAAAGTGCAATTTGACTGACCAGTCTGTGCAAAGTAAGAACATGATTTAATACGGTATTTCATGGAAAATATGATATGGGACTTGATGCATGGAAGTTTTTCTAATTCACTAAGCAGACAACCAAAATAAATATAATATATACTCATTCCATTTATTATACAAATACACTTAAAGTGTATAAATATACACATCAAACAGTGAAATATGCTTGGCACTTGTATAACTGCAGATTTAGAAAAAAATCAACTAGCAGATAATATACTTTACAAGTCTCTGTACATTTACACATAATGTGAGCATATACACACAATGCATGCATATACAAACAAGTTGTGAAAGAACTTAAAACAGTTCTAGTATTATCAAGGCTTTAATGCCTACTGATAGATTCAGTATTCAGATGATCATTGCTGTTCTCATCAAATTACATCTGTGACCAACGTGATTAAACCAAACATAATTTATAGTCCTTTATAATAAAACTTCCATTACTTTCTTTGTAAATAAGATTAAAACACAATGAAATTACTCTTAAACTGCCATCTCATATGTCTAATTAGGAAGTGCAAATACAAGTTTTTATGTGACACCTTTGTTTCAATTATCAGATTTGGGAACACTGACTTTCTTGCCAAGAAAAGAATACAATTCAAAACTCCAAAGCAGAATACCAATATAACAGTCCATAACACTTCTGTAGGGATCTTGAAATCTAAAGAAGTTTAATAACAAACTACTAGGAAACTCATCACTTAACAGCACACTTAGACCCAGAATTCCTTGCATTAAAGTTATCGGAGATTTATGTCTTGGATAAAAGGCACATTTTAAATCATTTTGAGTGATCAATGTACTTTGTTCTGAATAAAGCACATAAAATTGAAAACAACCCTTCAATACACAATAACCATGCATCCAAACACTCCAAACAGAATTGGTTACTCAATAGAAATATTTTTCAAAGTGATTTATTAAACATTCATCTTGCACTTCATTGTGGAAAAATTTACAAAGAAGTTCGTTCTCCCCAGAGTATTCACACAAGTTCACCGCAGTTGGAGATCACAACCTTCTCAGAAGGCTTACCTGACTTGGAGCCACATTTCTGGAAATAAAGGGTACAAGTTTAAGAATAGTGAACTTGTTATAAAAGAAAAACAACTGAGGACATATTTTAAAACAAATTTTGATCATATATAGATCAAAGATATGTAATAATGTTAATGAACTTAATGCTTATTTCAGAGTGTATACAAAATAATTTTACTTGCCTCCATTTTTCTGATAACATCCATACCACTGACAACTTGACCAAAGACAACGTGTTTATTATCAAGCCACTCTGTCCGCTCAGTGGTTAGAAAGAACTGAGATCCATTGCTGTTAGGCCCAGAATTAGCCATTGAAAGTATTCCAGGACCTGTAAACCAAGGTAAAAAGTCACCTAAATCACATTTATAATTAAACCAGTTATCTTAATTCATTGTTGATCATACATCACATTTCTAAATATTGCAATTCCTATAAGCATACATTGTTTTTGTTTCTAGTACTCTGGAATAAATATATAAAGGCATAAGCACTTGAATTAGATTTAACTATACCTGTATGCCTTAGTTTGAAATTCTCATCTTCAAACTTAGAGCCATATATAGACCGTCCTCCTGTGCCGTTATGGTTGGTAAAATCTCCCCCTTGACACATGAAACCTGGGATGATGCGATGGAACGTTGACCCCTGGTAACCATACCCTTTCTCATGTGTACAAAGGCAACGGAAATTCTGAAAAGGATGGAAAATGTATTTTTTGAGATAATACCCTGAAAAAGTAAGTTGTGTAAGCTGGGAGGGAGGGAGGGAGAGAGGGAAGGAGGGAAGGAGGGAAGGAGGGAAGGAGGGAGGGAGGGAGAGAGGGAAGGAGG